CATTAAATTAGTTTATGACAATATGGCAAACATAATTAAGATTAAGGAACTAAATTATTTATAAAATCATAGAAAATAAATAATAAAACCTAACTGTTTTTTCACAACACCTTCAATGTTTTAATTATCAAACGAACCATTATTGTTAAAAAAAAATATATTAAAATAATAATATTATAAAATTTTTAACAAAACTTAAACTATAATATTCGTATATACATAAATATTACAAATACATATAATATTTTTCAAACATTCAAATGTTAATTTCGCCAATTTGAATTATAAAAGAAGTTTTAGTATTAAATTATAGCATTATATTTGAAATCAACATGTCTCTATAATTAAATTTAATGATTCACAATTGTTCTCCACATTTTTTTGTTTTTGTTTTAATATAAATTCTAAGAGTCCATACTGTTATCTTTAATACTGTAACCTCTTAAAAGAAATGCTGTTAAAATCTCAAACTTTGTAAACCTAAAATAACTGTAACTAATGGCCATGCAGCAGGGGCGGACTTACCATTTTTCCGCCCCTAGGCATTGCAACACTAGCGCCCCTTACATGGTTGTAGGAGGGGGGTGCTCCCACCTGGGNATTTATAGGCGTGTAATATTCCATGAAATAAGACAAAACTATAAAAATTGTATATAGGAACTTTTATTTTTATACTTATACATACCAACTAAACAATAAATATTAATACAATATTAGTACAATAATTAAATCATTTTGCGCCTTGATTTTTCGGTAGTAAAATCATCTATGATTTCATCGAATGATAACTGACGAGTTATTTGATTTTCAATGTTTAGAATCGCAAGTGAATTCATTTTTTGTTGAGTCATAGTAGAACGTAAGTAATTTTTTACTCTTTTTAAACACGAAAACGATCTTTCAGCTGAGCAATTGGTGACAGCTGTGCAAGTAAAAATGCGGAGTATTATTTCTATGTTTGGGTAAATATTTGTCAAGTCTTTTTCATAGAGAAATGTTTAAAGACCAAGTAAGTTGTGTTTTCCCCCTATAGAGATTACATCGATATGAGCTTTTAAATGTAACACTTCATTTATAAAATCGTTAAATTCGACATAATTTTTATAAATGTTTTGAAGTAATTTAACCGATTTTCTAATTTCTTGATTGTCCAATTCCTTAATTTGCGTTAAAAATGTAAATGGTTTACAGAAAGTATCATATGCATGTCGCCTAGTTTCTAATTCAGTTTCTAATTTATCTAAAATTGGAATAAATGTATGTATTTTATAACTGTCTCGTGCCGATAAATTTACGTCTTCAGATTCAGATTCGTCATGGAAAATTTTTCGCTTTTTTTTCTTGTTGTAGTTATTTTGTAATCCTTCCTAACTGCCTTTGTCAATGCTTCCGTTTCAAAATCATCAAAATTTTCGCGAGTCTGTTCTATTAATCTAATTAAACTATCGTATAACTGAAGTACATCCAAACAATCAATATTTACATTTTGTAACTTATTACTTGTTAAGTTTAATCGACTAAGCAAAAAACCCCACACAACTGACATGATTGCAGTTTCTAAAGAACTCATTTTACTCATTAGTCCTTTTGCTTCATTTCTAGTAATATTATTTTCAGTGCTATCATCGATTATATATGTTAATGTAGCTAAAACGGCAGACCAATTTTCATTTAAACTCAGGCATGCAGAATCTCTCGATGACCATCTCGTATTGGAAAGTGCTTTTAATGTGCGTGATTTTGATACCATATTATTATTGAGGAGATCCCATCTATGTGTACTACTCGAAAAAAATACATAGATATTTTGCATTAGTCCAAAAAATGTAGCTGCTTCATTACAACATTCAACTGCATGTGATCCTACTAGGTTAAGTGAATGAGCTGCGCATGGGATATAAAATGCCAAAGGATTTATATTTTTTATTCGAGCTTGAAGACCATTATAACAACCTGACATATTTTTAGCTGTGTCATATGATTGTCCACGACAGTCTGATATATTTAATTTTAAATTGTCGATTGTCATGATGACTGTTTCAGCTATTTCCAAAGATTTATGACCAACTTTTGGTATAAATTCTAAAAATCGTTCTGTCGGTACACCTTTATCACTGACATAGCGAAGTATAAAAGCAAGTTGGTCAGAATGTGTTATATCTGGTGTAGAGTCGACGACAATCGAATAATATTTACGACTTTTAACATCATTTATGATAACTTCCTTAACTTTTTTGGCCATTAATACAATAATTTCATCACATATTGTCGATGATAAGTACGATGTAGTGCCACTACCAGAATTACCATATTTAGAAATATGTTGTGCTAAGAAAGGGTCAAATTCGGATAACAATTCAAGAATCATCATGTAATTTCCATTTTTAAGCGATCCGAAAATCTCTTCATGTCCCCGTAATGGAAGTCCGCGTGAAGCTAATGTTTTAATTACAGATACTACTATCTCTAAAACACTTCTCCAATACATTTTTTCATGGTTAATTTGAACTGATAACATAGAATCTAATCTTCTTTGTTCTTGTCCTAAATCTTTCAATTTTAGTATACATGTTTTGTGATTTAACGATCCTTCGTGTTCTTTAAGACGCTTATGTGCATTTTTCCAATCATTAAAACCATCAATAGCTAAATTAGAAAATGCATTTTTAAATAACCAACAAGGTGCGCAAAAAACTTTTCCTAATTTATGAGAGTAAACAAGCCATGCACGTGAAATTTGTTCACCATTTGGTAATTTTGAAAAAAACATAATTTTATTACAAAATCTCACTTTGCCTACAGAATATTGATTTTTTGATTGAATAAAATTGTCATTATTATTTTGATCTACCCCATGTACTGCACAAAATTTTATAAAACTTGCAGTACGTAACCAATCTGCCGGATCGGTTGGAAAACGCTGAACTTCTTCGATTGAATTGTCATCTTGCACCTCGATCAAATTTTTACCATTACACATTTCATCGACATTTACATCATTTACATCGCTCAAATCAACCTAAACATTTTATTTTTTTATTATAATAATTTCAGTTATTAAAACGTCAATTTTATAAATTTGTAAGAATTTGAACTTCAAACAAAATATTTCTTTAAAGTTACACACACGCAGACATATTACTGTAAACAAAATAAAATATAATAAGCTACGCATGCATAACTACTATGGAATCGGAGGACGGAGAATAATAACCAAATTTGTAAACGTAATTTCAAGGTAAATTGTTTGTTCGTACTTCATGGATACTGTGTGTAATTATAACGTACAAGTCGTACAACTACTGTACAAGACGTGTATAATGGCATAAGTACCTACATGATGCGTGCAGTTTGACGGATAAGGATAACAGTGTACAAGATGCGATCACAAGTTTATTTAAATTATTTATTTTCTTATTCAAAAGCATTCATATATTATGTTTTATATAATTATATACATACCTTGGACATAGGTGATAAACTTTTTAATTCTGAACTGTCGTCAATCAACTTTATTTCGTCATTTTTTTCAGCTGATTCCATAGGTTTTTTCACTGGATTCTAAGAAAATTACAATTTTTGTAATAAAGAATGAAAAAATATAAATAATAATTACTAATTTTTATATATTATTATATTAATGTATTATTATAATTATAAAATATAAAATTAAATAAAGATGGTTTTGTAATTACTAATTTGATTTTTGAACATACTTTGCATAAGAATCCATCAAGTTTTTTTGTTTTTCGTAATACATCTTCTTGTTTGGCCAACTTTTCTTGCCTTATTTTTTTAAACTGGTGCCCACTCTTTTTACCAGACATGTTTAATTGTTTAAACTTTAATATTCTAATTAAAAAATGAAAATGTGAACTAGTTTCTATAATCGTAAATCGTAATCGATTAGCAGTATGCACTGTGCAGGAGACCGGCGACAGTGCCAGCGTCGTGCGTCGTCGCAATGTTTATTATTACATTATCAAGACATCTGATTACCAGAAATAATTCCAGTATTCTAAGAATAGACTAGTTTAGCGGCCGCGCGCCCGCGCACACTTATTGTGGTGCTGGGTGTGGGGTGARGCGGGTCATTCCAGTTAATATCAAATAATTTACTTGCTAGAGAGTGCGAGCTGTCTCCCACCTAGCTAGTAGAGCGGCTATAATATACAATGTACCCGGCGGCCAGAGGCAGTATATTTGACTGCCTTTGCTGGCGTTTTACGCATGCGCCATTCACAATGTTGTATGTGTTTATGCCACACACCCGTATACCACCTCAAATGCATTAACATAGGCAACGCCGGCAACTGCCTCGTCGAGTGTCGATGTCAAACCTATAGCGGTGTCGTCGCGGCGCAGCGCGCTCCGGTCGCAGGATTAAACTCAAACGGTCAAACGGCAAAGGTATTATAGCTTATAAATTAAAACGTTTCTGCAAAGTGACTACGTGAGCCATTTTTCAGTTTCATGCAAATTATATACAAAAAAAAAAATTAATTTAAAATGTAAATTTAGGTAAATATAATTATGAAATTATGAAAAACTAAAAAGAAAAATTAACTGAAAAATTGCGCCCCAAAAAAATTTTGCGCCCTAGGCACGTGCCTAGGTGGCCTATGCGTAAATCCGCTCCTGCCATGCAGTTTATTTGATCAATAAAAAAAATATATATATTAATATTATTTGAAATCCCATTAAACCCGGGAAATTTGGTTTAAAAATTTTTATGAAATAGAAAATTTTAATCAAATCATTGTTTCATAGAAACTGTTGAATATGATTTATTAAGAACTACGAAAAAGGCACGGGCAAAAAATATTTCTTCAAAATAAATTTCAAATTGTTCAAATTCATCATAAAATAAATGGGTCAACAATTTAAATTACCATATTTTGAAGATACGTTGTTACTGTTACCGTACTTAACTGTATTTTACCGTTCATCTGAATACACTGTTTACAAAATAAATGWATTTGATTCAATAAAATATTTACTTCTGAACTTCGGCTCTGCAATATCTGCAACATAATTGGGCACGACTACACACACGACTCCAGCGCCAAAACCTTGCAGGATACGTCCTATGTATAGTACTGTCAATACACCCATTGAATACACAATTATGACAGATCCACAGAAGGTTAAAACCATCCCAATGACAAGTACCGGTTTAAGACCAACCAATGACGCTAAAATTGCCGCAGGTCCAGCGCTAGCAATTGCTCCGAGAAAAAGAAGATCTTTCAACATTTTCGATTGGTATTTTTCTATTTCTGTCGAACACCACGTCCACTCCAAACACATACCAATAGTTAATGAACACGAAGCTACTAAAAAATGAAACCACAAAAAACTACCTTCATTTAAAAACCTATTTTAAATGAACAATATAAGGGAATCATATTTATAATAGATAATAAACATGTTGATATTTGAGTATTTTTGTTTCACCAATCTTTTGGTATATTCACTCTGAATGAGTAATACATAAGAAAAAGGTTGGTTAGTTATAATTAAAATGTGATTTATTTAATTTAAAGAACTAAAATATTATTCCAAACAATACACATATGGATAATCATTGATGTAATACAAAAATTCCATCAACAAATACTATTTTTTCAACTCAAATTCATTATTGATGCACCTTATTGATCACATTCAACTGGAACGGAACATTTTCCTACTGAGAGTATATCATATTCACACTTTAATTTATATAAACTATTGATTAAAATTTAAAGTTCTAATTAAATAATAAAAATCAGGTTCTGACAATGGGGTTCTATTGCATATTTTAATACATAATCGATTTAAAAAAACCGGAGTGTCTAGGAAAAAATAAAAACAATGGGTTTATTGGATTAGACAAAATATTCACCTATGTAAGTGACATAAACTAAAGCTCGTAAATTTTAAAATGTAATAATTCACTGATAAGATTTAAGATCTAAAAAACTATTTACACAGTACTATGAAGTCTGTAGGTGGTACTAACATTAACAATAATGTATAACACATTTTTGTAAATAAACTTAATTAACAATAATGTATAACACATTTTTGTAAATAAACTTAATTAATTAATATAAAAGATAAAAATTAAATTAAATACCTAACCTAATTAAGAAATTCAGTTTTAATAACCCMCTAATTTATATCAAACCCTAAATACTTGCATCATGCATTATTATTGTATTAGATTTCTCTATAAACTCCATGATGCTATTATTATTCCGTAGTTAATTAAAATACCTTAAACATGTTATTTATTTGTATTTTTGGTAAGGAAGCACGCGCAAAGAAATATAATTTGTGAAGGTTATAAAAAATAAATATTTTTTGAAAACATTTTAAGGAATGAACTCTACCACAAACATCCACTATGTACATTATAAATGATTCTATTATTTAGTATATATACATTTTAAAATATATTTAATATTACAGACTTGTAAAGTACTTGAGTATAGTATTTGAATACTTTTTTGAAGGTATCTGTATTTAAAATCAAATACTATTTTTAAATACTTTTTTCGTCTTAAATTTTAATTATTCTAACTTAATTATTCTTATTCTAATTAATTTAAGTAAAATYAGAGTTCTAAAATAAAAWWAATAATTTAKTTGATTAATAAATAATAATTCAATTTATCTATAAGGTCATTAGGCCAAGGAAAAAAGATAAAACATATTTAAAAA